CCAAAACCTTAATTCAATCAAATTTTTCACAAAGAATACGTTTAGGCCTTGTTTGATTAACAATATTAATACTAAAAAGATTAATAATCTCATGAATTAATGTATGATTAGTTATCCAATTAAATTAGTGAGATAATCATTTATTAAGTATTCATTTTGTTTTATTTTTTCATACTTGGAATTATGATTTCCAACTGCTCTCAGTATTAAAAATTCACTAATTTCATCGGATTAAATATCCGCCATATATATAATCCTGTTAATAAAATTTACAATCAAATATGAGATTGTAAGTCCACAAACTAATAATTCCAATCTTATGCTATAGTTCTACTAATCAAACATGCCCGTATAATGTGATGCTTGGTGCTAAGTTATTTTTGTGATGTCAACTAATCGAGCTATTCAACGAATTGGCTTTGATCTTGACATACTTAAGAGTTTCCTCAAATTGCATATGTTGAAACCTATTTGATAAAGGAATTGAGACCAACAAGTATTCTACTTGAATCTATGCCAATTATTTGTTATAAAATAGGGTTAATATTACATTCTATCCCCTTAATTATTACTAAATATTTTCTTACTCTTAAATTTTAAAATCATACATTTAAACCTTTCTTTTTTCTTTTCTTTTTTTTGTCAATAGATAAATAAGAGAGTGATTACAATCATAATAAATATTTACATAATCGAATAAGCCTCTAATCTACAATAATTAGAAAGTCTAACAACTAAGCCCACAATAATTAAAAAGTCTAACAATCAATAATTGAAACTTAGCAAGCCCAACAACAAACCCACCAAGCCCAAATCCAACAACCCATCCAATCAATCCCTATAATAGGAGAAAAATAAAAATCACCACAAAGGGCCTCTACATTTAAACTAATCAATTATCAAAAATTTAGTTTCAGTCCCTTGTAGGGTTTCAGTCCCGCTAGTAGGGGAGAAATTATATTTTGTCCTAAGGACAAGTTCATGTGATGCTCCAAATTAAATTTGATTGGTTAAAATAGTGGATCCTATCACTTTTGTATCTCCTTTGAGAAGATAAATTGACAAGTATCCGGTCTTGAGTGGTGTGGAGCAATACATTTGTTGTCTCTGTTCTCCTTTCCCCTTCTTCATCTCTTCATTTTTCTTCATCTATGATCATTGCAACCCAAAGTTATACTAAATACCTTCTTTAGTAGGGACTTTTTCTTTCTTTTTTTTTTGAGATCTATGCCCTGGAAACTGCTAAAGGTTATTTTGGTTTGTTAAATCTTTGCAAAAAATGACTGTTTTGGATTTAAACTTTAATTTTCTCTCGTAAATCATGAAATACAAAGACCAAAAAATCTATCTATTCAATTTTTATTTTAGAATTTTATATCTAATATTGATATTATTTTAAAGACTTTGAAAAGATGAATTTAAAAATATAATGTTTATTAAAAATGGATTTATATTTTTAAAGTTATAGAATTTTAAAAAAAAAAATTAGCACAAAGTATACATAGAAGGTAAAAATGTCAAAAATTGTCTTTATCACCATATGTTTGGATTTACCAACTGTGATGTGCATACATTTTTGTTAGCCCTAAGGTTATTTGAATTTAAACTCTTATTGATTTTGATTATCGACAAATATTTTGAAACAATTTATTTATTCAAAATTTTCAAAATAGTATTATATTATTGCTCTTCATTGTTTCTAATAGAGGAACGCTTCAAAATTGTCAATTTCTCATGAATATTGGTATCTCAAAAACATGGAATTAGCATTTCTATGCAAAATACTATTTGTGCCTTAAACAGGTCCAAGGGTCGACACCAAGACAACAAGGGTCGACACCAAAATGAAATACACAATGCCTAAGTGTTGCAGCAGCAAGGGTCGATACCAAGAATGGCAAGGGTCGACATTAAATTTCAGAACACAATCCAGCAGTAAGGGTCGACACCAAGAATGACAAGGGTCGACACTAAAATTCAAAATACAAAGTTCGGACTTCCAGGAAACAAAGGGTCAACACCCAGTTTCGAAAAGGTCGACACTAGGAACACTTGGAAATCACACAAAGAAGAAAAGAGAAGCAAAGGGTCGACACCCAATCTATAGGGGTCGACACCCATAAATCTGGTGTCACGCCCCAAAATTTGGACAATTAAATAACACATTAAATTAATTAAATAACACATTAATTCTCATGTAGCCACGTAATTAATAAAGCCAAAAATAAAATAAAGTAATAATAATAAATAATGACTTACAAAAAATCAAGGTCGGTACAATATACACACCTCAACAGAATCTCGTCCCGAGATTCGATAAAAAAGAGTACTAAACAAAAAACTCCGGGTGCATACACTGAACTTTCTCTTCCAATTCCCAAGTGATATCATTATCATCCTCGCTCCATTGCACTTTCACCAAGTTCACTTTCTTATGCCGCAACTGTTTTACATCCCGGTCTAGAATAGTAACCGGTCGCACCACATACGTTAGATCGTCACTAATCTCCAACACTTCTGGTGATACTACTTGGGAAGGGTCTTATACACACTTCTGCAATAAAAATACATGGAACAAGTTGTGAATCATAGCCACATTACCAATCCTCTCCGTGATCTCGTATGGTCCCATAAATCTAAGTGCCAACTTTCTCTTCTTTTCGAACCACATGATACCCTTCATCGATGAGACCTTCAAAAACACAAAATCTCCAACATTCAACTCAACCCCCTTACGTTTTCTATCAATGTAACTCTTCTAACGACTCTGTACAATCTTAATACATTCCCGAATAATGTTCACCTTCTTCGTGGTTTCTCTCACCAACTCTAGCCCTAACAACGGCACATCTTCTACCTTCATCCAACAAGCAGGTGATCAACATGGCCTCCCGTACAAAGCCTCAAAAGGTGCTATCCCGATGCTGGAGTGATAGCTATTATTATAAGCAAAAACTCCACCAATGGCAAGTGTTCTTCCCAACTACTACCAAGATCAAGGACACAAGCTCTCAACATATTCTCCAAAATTTGATTTACCAGCTCAGTTTGCCCATCTGTCTAAGGATGATAAGCCATGCTCAAGTCTAACCTAGCACCCAAAGCATGCTGAAAACTCTTCCAAAACTCTGCTACAAATAACGGATCATTATTTGAAACTATAGAAACTGGCACACCTTGAAGTCGCACCACCTCCTGAATATATTGCCTAGCTAGTTTATCCATAGTTCGGTGAGCACTGATAGGAATAAAATAAGCAGACTTGGTGAGTCGATTCACTATCACCCAAATAGATTCATTGCCTCACTTAGAGCACGGCAATCCATCCACGAAGTCCATAGAGATGTACTCCCATTTCCAAGTAGGGATCTTGAGAGGTTGCAAAAGTCCAAATGGTCGTTGGTGTTCTGCCTTAACCTGTTGACACACATAACATCGAGAAACATACTCTCCTACGTCCTTCTTCATACTTTCCCATCAAAACGTCCTCTTCAGGTCATGATACATCTTAGTCCCACCAGGGTGAATGGTATATCAGGACCTATAGATATCATCCATGATCTCTTTCCTCAATTCAACAATGTTAGGTACACACAACCTGTCCCTGAATCGCAATCCCCTATCTAAGTCCACAGACTAATCAGTAGGACAATCATCGATCAAATCCACTACAAGGTCATCGAGCTTGCTGACAAGAAACCCATCTAAATACTGCACCTGACGAACTTTACCCAGTAATGTCGACTGCGCGGTCAAACTATCAATGTATGCCCTCTCGATACCCTTTATTGATTGAACATTATGCATCAAAATGAACTCCAAAGACTTCCATTCCTGAATCATAAAAAAAAAACTATAATCCCATGTTGTCAACTAACTGCATCTGCGACCACTTTTCCTTTCCTTGGGTGGTAAAGGATCTCGAAATCATAACTACTAATGAATTCAACCCACCTTTGTTGCCTCATGTTCAACTTTTTTTGAGAAAAAAGATATTTAAGACTCTTGTGATTTGTGTGTAACTCAAAACTTCCCAAACAAGTAGTGTCACCACACTTTCAATGCAAAAATAATTGCTGCCAACTCTAAGTCATGAGTAGGGTATCGTCTCTCATGAGGTTTTAACTATCGAGAAGCATGAGATACAATCTTCTAATGCTGCATCAACACACATCCCAACCCAGTTCCACTTGTATCAGTAAACACAACTAACTTTTCCCCTTGTACTGGTATAGTTAATACTGGTGCTATAGTCAACCGCTGCTTTAACTCCTGGAAAGCTCTCTCACAATCATCTGTCCTTATGAACTTCACATTCTTGCGGGTCAACTTGGTCATGGGTGATACAATAGTAGAAAACTTCTCTATAAATCTTCTATAATAACCAGCTAGTCCTAATAAACTCGCTACTTCCATTCTTTGACCGCAATAACTTTCTCAAGATCTACCACTATCCCCTAATTGGATACAGCATGTCCCAAAAATCGAACTTCTTTCTCCCAAAAGTGACACTTACTGAACTTAGCGTATAACTGCTACTCCCTCAAAGTCTGCAACACAACTTTCAAATGTTCTCTATGTTCTTCCTCATTCTTAGAATACACTAGGATATCATCTATGAAGATAATCACAAATTTATCTAGATACAGTTGAAAAATTATGTTCATCAAGTCCATGAAATAGGCAAGAGCATTGGTCAAACGAAAAGGCATTACAGGAAATTCGTACAATCCATACCGAGTCCGAAAAGTAGTAAGCGGTATACTTTCCTCTGACACACACATCTAATGGTAACCCGTTCTGAGATCAAACTGAGAGAACACAGCTGCCCCCTTCAACTGATCAAACAAGTCATCAATTCTAGATAACGAATACTTGTTCTTGATAGTCACCTTGTTTAGCTCTCTGTAATCTATGCACATGCAGAGAGTGCCATCTTTCTTGAAGACAAAAATCGCTAGTGCTCCCCACGGGGAGTTACTTGAATGTATGAACCCTTTCTAAAGCATCTCTTCTAGCTGCTTTTTCATCTCCACAAGCTCTTTAGGCGCCATTCTGTATGCCACCTTAGAAATCGGTGCAGTTCCCAGCACTAGGTCAATGCGAAATTCTACTACTCGTCGAGGTGGAGGTTCAGGTATCTCCTGAAATACATTCTCAAACTCACATACCACATCTACCTCACTAATATTCTGCTTAGGGATTTCTACCGAGCATAAATAACTCGTCATCACTGACTCTTCTCCATCGCTAGAAGTGTGGGTAAGTCGTGGCATACCGAGAATATCTATATTTACGGTCCTTCTAGCACAATCTAGAGTCACAAAGTGTTTTCGCAGCCAATCCATACCCAAAATAATTACAAACCCCTCAAACCCTAACACAATGAGGTCCACATACAAGACTCTGCTCGTAAAATCAATCTCAAAATCTTTACACATCTCATAAAGAGTAATTGTCCCTTCTAAAGGAGTCTCAATGCAAATAGGTCTAGATAAGAAGGTAGTTACAAGATGTTCTCTTTCTATAAATTGCCTAGATATGAAAGAATGAGAGGCACCAGTATCAAAAAGTACTCCAATGGGTTCTTGAAAAAGATTAAAGATACCTTCCAACCATTACCTTTAAGTTAAACATACAAAAAGAATTCGTTCATAAATACCTAGAATAAATTTAACCATTAAACTAAACCAGCTAACCCAAGTTTCCACATCTGAGGATCACCTAAACTCTCACAAGTCTAGGGTAACCTAAAGCTCTGATACCAAACTGTCACGCCCCAAAATTTGGACAATTAAATATTAAATTAAATAACACATTAAATTAATTAAATAATACATTAAATTCTCATGTAGTCACGTAATTAATAAAGCCGAAAATAAAATAAAGTAATAATAATAAATAATGACTTATGAAAAATTAAGGTCGCTACATCTATGTTTCAAAAAACCTAACCGCCCATTCAGATCTAGTCTGACACAGTTCATTTCCTAGCCGCTTTTTGTGATCTGTGTACAGAATAAGTCATCATTTCTGATCTTTGAGCAGACCTCTCTATCATAATAGCTTCTACCAAGAGTCGACTTATGAGCTTGAGCATTTAATGAAAGCTTGAGCATTTAATGAACATCCTCTTCCCAAGACTTGTTGGCAACCTGTATACACCCATGCTCTGATCCATGCAGCTAGAAGATATCATAGATGATATGCTCCAATGGCTAGAAGATTTACCCATGCTTCTCTCCAACAACTAGAAGCCATTAATGCTATAAAGAAAGAAGCTCTCCACATCCAAAGACACAACTCTCCAACACAAGAACACCAAAGAATTCAAGAGCTTTTATTATACTTCATTGTACTTCCACTTTCATATCTAAGTGAGTTTTCAATCCCCTCTGTGCTTACACTTTCATATCTATCTTTTGAGAGAGAAAATTTATAAACGAGGACAGTTGTACCTCTTGTTCTTCTTCCTTATTTTCTGAGTGAAACACTTGTAAAGTGAGGCATTTAGTTGAGAGGTTCTCAACAGATAAGAGTAAATCCTTTGTAAAAATCCACAAGCCATGAGAAGCTTGGTGGTGTATTGATTCGATTCCTAGTGAAGGAATTCTCAAGGAGGTATCTTAAGGAGTGGACGTAGGCCGGTGAGCCGAACCACTATAAATCCTTATGTTTGAGCTCTTCTTCCCTTCTTCTTCTTTTATGTTCTATTGATTGCCTACTAAAATTATTTACTTAATTTATTACAATCAATTTTCTGTCCATATTTTTTTTAATAACCCGATTCACCCCCTTTTGGGTTTCTTACCTGGGTAACAATTTTTGATAATTCTATTTTCACACACTAAATCCCCTCAAAGCACACACTTAATGAACATTTTCTCAGTGCGTAGATTAAAAACAAAAAATGTTCTCAATACACATCTCTTCATTTCAATAATGCCATCATTTTTTACTTTCAAAGCCCTAATTTATTTTTCATTCACCCACTCTTCCTTTTCCGGAAAACTTGCAATGTTTTCCATGTTGTTACCGTTGCCATTACTGCCACCTATGAAGCAAGGGTACTTCGAAAAACATGCCGTACTCGTACCAGATATTTACCAACGTATGGTACCTTGTATGGTACTTTTGCATACATATTGGGTACACGAAACACATACCCAAAAAATTTCTTCTTAATTTTTGGCATACCTAGGTATATACCCAGGCCGTACCGTACCTCAATTGAAACAATATTTTCTTTTACTGTAGAGATAAAACTCATTTCACTAGATTTTTTTTTATTATTATTTTATGCTTAGCATGATTTTAAAATTAAACTATGGTTTGTAAGTTATTTAAGATATTGACATTTAATTTTGATTTATACTTTTACTTTTGACATTAAATGTTAATTGTAGGCTGGACCTTAACAAATTAAACCATTTAATTAATTTTTGCATTACGTTAAATTAAAAATAAATACTTTTTTACAAGCGTACCAAGGCGTACCCATATCCTTTTTTTTTTAATTTTACCGTATCAACGTACCTGTATCGTACCAGTACCAATACTTGTACTCGTGCTTCATAGACTACCACTCTTAGCCCCCCGCTACTACTCCCAACTCATCCTTGCTCCAACTTAGACCTCCATAATCTACTCTCGTTACCCACCATTCCTTCAAAACCCTAAACTTTGCAACCTTATTTACCACAATTCGATCTCTATAAACCTTTCTATCGTCGTGAACCCTATGTATCTAGATCTATTTTAAGGTTGATATTCGGTCAAACCCTATAGGTTCAAGTTGATATTTGAAAAAACTCTATTAGTTTGGCGATTGATATTTGAACGGTGACGATCCCTCCAATACTGATTATCCAGATGATTTGAGAGAGAGGTTAGAGTTTGAAAAGGGTGTGCATGATTGACTGAGAGAGAGAGTGAGAAAGAGGACAAGGTGGAAAGGTTAGTGACTAGAAAGATAGTGAGAGGGAGGATTATAAATGAAGAAGACAAAAAAGATGTAGCTAGCCAGCGACAAGTAATAGAGTGGTTGGTGGGGGTGATTGGTGGATGTGTATTATGAAATTAGAAAAATAAAAAATAAAAGTTTGTCTTAAATGGTAATTTAATTAAGAGATAAAGATGTGATTTTGAAAAAATTCACTAAGTGTGTGCCAGAAGATTTGGTGTAGAAAGAAAATTATCTATACATTTTTTTCTTATGACCAACAAATATCAAAACTTGGACTTCTGTCCTAGAACATTCCATCACATGGACTGTTGGCCAATTGTCCCTTCTTTTTATTTGTTACACTTATTTTTGTAATTTTTTAAAGAATGATAACAAGTATAGGGATAGGGATGGTAATTTTCCCTACGTCACAAGGGTATTCACTGCAACAACGAGAAAGTGGGACATGGATGGGTTTTGTTTAACCCACTCTGATTATATATATATACTAGTGATCACTCGTGCTATGTATGGAATTTTATAAAATCAATAATTATCATATAAAATTTATTATTTGATTATATTTTTTAATATTTTTATTTAGTGTGTGTCTATAAATCTTACTTCAAATTATTAAAAATATTTAATATTTCACATTATTGAATTTTTTTTTAAAAACTATCATACATTAAGTAAATTATCACATAAATAACAGCTAATTTATCTAAGAATTACTTCCGACAACCAAAAGTAGAATAACAAAGGCATAATATAATTTAACAAAATGATTAATATTAAGCTAATTTTGTTTAATCAATAGTAGATATTACATTAATCATCCCACATAGTATAATGAATTAAAATAAAATTAATTTTAATTCCCATTATATTCAGTTAGTGGTTAAATTTTTTTCACATGTTATTTGTTTTTTTTGGTTATATTGATTCATTAAACATGAATAGGTTTGAAATGATTATAAAAATAAATAAATAAATAAAATAAGATTTGGAAATGCATTAAAGTTGAATTGACAAACATAAAGAATATAAATATTTAAATTATTCAAAATAAATTACCATTTTTAGTATGAGATCTTTTCCATTTATTCAAACTCTGAATCTGAATAATAAAAAAAAAATTAAAAAAAGAAGAATTTTTTGGTTTAGTTCTCAAAGGAAATGAATTTCTGAAAATAAATTTAATCATGAGTTATTTTAACAGGATAATCAACAATAAAAAATCAACTGATGAATACATTTAAAATATAAATCCATATCCAATAAATTTTGATGTGTTCATTTTCAATCTAACATCTACACCAAAAAAAAATTAAACACACTAGTCAATAAATAAGAGATTTAAAAATTGATAATAGTAGTGCTTTAAAAAAAAGAATAAAATCTCAATTAAATGACACATTATTAGCAAAAAGAAAGAAATAAAGAAAAAAATAGATTGTAACAAAAAAAATTAAAAATAAAATAATAATATCCGTTTACATAAACTCACTTTCTCACAAATGTAAAGACTCATGCAAGTACATATTTCAAATGTAAATCAAATATTTAAGACTTTTTGGCAATGAAAAGGGATCAGAAATGACTCAATGTTGATTTTTTTCCTTCCCCAATCTTCTGTTCATGGTTACTTTTGCAGGAACTTGTTTTTATATTGAAAAGATTATGCTTAGACAAAAGATATTTATAGAATGCTATCATATTTAAAATTTATATGAATAATTAGTTGAAGATTTTAAAAGATAAAATATTAAGTTCACCTTGAAGATAAACTTTAAAAAAATTAAACTGAAATATATGAGAATTCTATAACAAACTAACAAAAGATAAATATAGATCGTTAAAAAAGATTATCATCTTTTTGGGATATTTATCTCCCAATCTTAATCTTTTTATTTTAAATATTTTGTTATCTTTTATTTAAATTTTCATTTTGTAGTTCAAATCTAAATAGTTATATTTTTATTTTTGCATATTTTTTCATCTCTATTTTTTTGTTATTCTTATATAAATAGTTATCTTTTTATTTAAAAAATTATCTAACTCGTAATCTTTTTTATTTGAATATTAATCTTTTATTTGAATTTTTATCAATTCAAAATATGGAATTGTATTAAATTTAAACTTTAAATGGATAATTAATTGATGATTTTAAAAGGTAAAATAATAAGTTCAACTTGAAGATAAAATTTAAAAAAGATTAAGCTGAAATATATGAAAATTTTACAACAAACTCATAGAAGGTAAATATAAATCGTTAAAAAATTTATCATCTTTTTGGCATTTATATCTCAATTTAAATATTTTTGTTTAATTTTTTTTTATTTTTTATTTGAATTTTTATTTTTCTAGGATCTATATCTCAATCTAAATTTTTTTTATCTTTTATTTGAATTTTTATTTTTCAGCTCAAATCTAAATAGTTATATTTTTTTTTGTATATATTTTTTTTCTCTATTTTTTTTGTTCATATATAAATAATTATCTTTTTATTTTAAAAATTATTTGACTCGTAATATTTTTTTAATTAAATATTTTTTATTTAGTTTGTGTTTTTTAACATTTTTATTTAGTTTGTATACATAAACCTTACTTCACATCATTAAAAATATTTAATATTTCACATTATTGAAATTTTTTAAAAAACTATCATACATAAATAATAGCTAATTTATCTAAGAATTATTTCAGACAACCAAAAGTAGAGTAACAAAGGCATATTATAATTAAACAAAATGACTAATATTAAATAAAAGTAACACTAATCTTGTTTAATCAGTAGTAGATATTACATTAATCATCCTTCATAGTATAATGAATTAAAATAAAATTAATTGTAATTCCCATTATATTCAATTAGTGGTTAAAATTTTTTTTCCCATGTTATTTGTTTTTTTAGTTATATTGATTCATTAAACATAAATAGGTTTTGGAATGATTATAAAAAAAAATTAAAAAAAAAACATTTAGAAATGTATTAAAGTTGAATTGACAAACATAAAGAATATAAATATTTAAATTATTCAAAAAAAA